GGGAGCATGATGTTGGGAGTTGATATGATAGCAACTGGACATAATGCAGATGACATTGCTGAAACTGTTTTAATGAATATTTTGAGAGGGGATTTAGCTCGTCTTCAAAGATGTACTGCCATTGTGACTGTAAGATTTTAATCATTGCAAATCGTTAAAAATTCAACAAGAAAAATAAAATTAATAAAATTTTTTCTTATTTTAGGCAAGTGAAGGTTCAATACCAAGATGTAAACCATTGAAATATGCTTATGAAAAAGAAATAGTTATGTATGCATATTTTAAAAATCTCCACTACTTTTCGACGGAATGTGTTTTCGCTCCGAATGCATATCGTGGACATGTTAGAACATTTTTAAAAGATTTAGAAAAGATTAGGCCTGCATCGATAATAAACATAATACATTCTGGAGAAAGCATAGGTTTAAAAAAAGGTATTAAATTACCACAAAAGGGTACATGTTCTAAATGTGGTTTCGTTTCTAGTCAATTAATTTGCAAGGTATGAAACTTTTAAAATCGAACATATATATTATAAATTATAATTTATCAAGTTAAAAAAAAAACCAAAAAAAATTATTTTCTTTTATAGGCTTGCACACTTTTAGCTGGTTTAAATAAAGGACTTCCAAAAATTGGAATAGGAAAAACTAGTAAAGTTAACAAAGCTTTATCGAAACTTACTACTGATGAATTAATACAAATATAATTTCAATATAATATAAATTTTCACTTACTATCTGATGTATTGTTGAAATTAAAAATTTTTTCAAAACCTTTTATATAGAAAAAAAAAGGATTAACTAATTAAACTGATAATTATTATTATTATTATTATTATTTATGTAATATTTGCATTTCATTTTACAATTTTTTTAAAAATTTATTTTATTATTTTTGGATTGAAATAATAAATTGTGATGATTTTCGGGTAAAAATAAAGTGTTTGTGTTTGTGTGTGTGTGTGTGGATGATTTTCTAACGCGTTTTTATTTCCATTATGAAATATATGCCGGATTCTTGTTTTCAATAAGACTTTTACAAACGGGACAAAAATTTGTTATTTGTTCACTACAATCTTCGCATAGGCAAACGTGTCCGCAAGGTAAAAGAATAACTTCTTTGGGATTACTCTAAAATTAAAAGACACAAATTCTTTTCACCGAACGAAATATTTTTTTTTTAAAAAAAAAAAAAATTACATTTATTAATCGATAACGTACCTGGCACACGACGCACAATTTATCCATCGGTAAATCTTCCGTATTTCTAACATTTTTTCTCCTTTCCCTAAAATCACACAAAAAAAAAAAAACCAAATTTATACTAAAAATCACCGCCACCGCCGCCTCATCATCATCATTCCATTCAAAATTTTATTTTTTTTTAAAAACATCATCATCGTACAAACACGTAATGAAACCAAGAAGCGTCTGCTCTTTTGTTTGTATACAAAACAATGCTTTGAATATAATTTATAATAATAATAATATTAAAAATTTTTTACATATAAAAAGTATTAAAACTTAATAATGTGTCATGAAATTAGAAATAGTTTCGACGTTAGTTTTAGTGAATTTAGTCGTCGGCGGACAAAAACGTCCCAGATCGACCGTTCTAACTGACGAATCTAAAAAAATATTAGAACATTTTGATTTTTCAAACTTTGACAAACAAGAAGCATTAAATTATTTAGACCGGCAAAGATACGATAATCAAATAAGAGGAAAAAGAGGACATTTTTTTAAAAATAAAATATGTTTAATAAATGGCATCAATATCAATGACAATGGTAATTAAAGTTTTCATTATGAATTTACACATTGAGACCAATTGCACTAATAATAATAATAATAATAATACTTGATTAATGAGATGATTGTTTTTTTTATAAATAAATTATATATTTAGAGTTTTAGTGAGTAGTTTGCGGTCGTTTATTAATTCAATCTTATCAAGTACATTCAAAATAAAAAACCTGAGGATCCAAGAGTAGGTTTTTATTGCTGTAGGCAGTGTAAATTCCTGTCGTCTCATGAAGAAGTAACACAGAAGACACAACAAAAAACCTTATTAATCGTTCATTGTTTTTTTTTTTTTTTTTTTCAAGATGCCGTTAAAAAAATGAAATATTATTTTCGCGGTCCCATTATAGAGAGGAGAGATTTTTTAAAACAAATAAATCATCCGATGACGTTAAAATCACACGAGTACGCGTGCTACGATCAAGATGAATCTCAAATAATCTCGAATTGTTATAATAAAATAAGGAGTAAAAGAGGTCACAAGCGTAAAAAAAAAATACGTCACAAACACATGGAAGAAAAAATTGATGAAAAATTAAATTGTTATAATCGTAAAGAGAAAAAGAAAAGGAAGAAAAAGAAGAAGAAGAAAAAAAAAAAAAGATATTGGGACAAATGGTCTTCGTGGTCTCCTTGCAGCGTGACTTGCGGGAGGGGAAGAAAAATAAGATGGAGGAAATGTATTGTTAAAAATTGCAATTTGGGTGAAGTGGAAATGGGTGAAAAAACTTGTCAACTTCCCGCGTGCAGTTTATTAACAAAACTTTTCGGACTGTGATGATGATGATGATGATGACAACACAATGCAATAATAATCATTTTCCTAACAAAATGATTAACCAAAAAAAAAAAAAAAAAAAATTTTTTTTTCGATCAGTTTAATAATTTCATTATTAAGTTATGTAACTTGTGATTCTTATCGAATGTGTTTTTTAGCAGTAGATACTTTTCATCCCTTATAAAAATAAATAAAAAAAGATTTACTTACTTTCTTGTGCTTTCTAAACGTTTTCTCTCGGCTTCTTTTTTTAACCATTCATTGTGCTTTTTAAAATATTTTCTTATTAATGTGCCAAATAAAAATATTCCTAAAACGCCAAATCCAAAACTAATCCACCTGTAATTCAAAAATATTTTTAAAATAAAGTTAAAGAAAAAATAAATTTACAAATGTTTACAAAATAAATTTAAAAAAAAAAAAAACACAAACCCATAATATTTAACTTTTTCATCTAATCGTCTAACGAGTGAATTTACAGGCATTGTAGATATAAAAAATGGTGTTCCATCTGTTGGAGGTTGAATTCTAAGCGAGCCGCCATCTTTTTGCACTTCTCCCACTGCAGTTATATAAGCACCTTCTTTTAAAATTTCTTCTATTGTTTGTAAACCTCTTTTACGAATACCTATAATTTACAGACAAAAGAATAAATGCAAAAAAAAAAGTTTTAATATAATTAAAACAGTTACTTACCAGTAAAAAATCCCCACATGTGATCCATGAAACCAAGATTACTCGGATCGAATCTATCTGAAACTACTTCCAGATCTAATATTTCAGCAGCTAATGCATCAATTACTTCAACTTCAACATCTCCTCTTCTAGAAGTGAGAGCAAAAGGTATTGAATTGAATATTTCATTTATAGTTCTTTGATTTTCCGTCCTGTGAACATATTATTGTCTACTTATTTGAGATATTAGCAATAAAACCGAGAGTTTTAGGATTGTAAGAAAAAATATTGTAAACATTTGTTTTAAAAATCAATATTTCTTTTATCATATATATATATATACAAACCAAAATCCTGATGAGCTTCTCGAAACGACATGTCTCTTATACTAAGTTTTTGAATTACTCCTGATATACTAGGATGATTTAAGCTTTTGATGGCAGGACCTAAGGCTTTAACGCTTCCTCTAACTGCTATGTAGGGAAATTTTCCAGAATTCTTATTAAGAAATACTTCCAGGTGCTTGTCAATTCCAAATTCAGGTGCATTCTAAAAAACCATTTACAAAATTTTTTACTGTGAAAAGAAAGATTAATTATTTAAATAATTTAAATTTTACTAATGATTATAAAACATTTAATAAAAATAAAATTAACTACAAATAAAAAATAAAAGCCCCAGGCATTTAAGAATAATTGAACAAATACAGAGATGATACAATCAAAAGAATTAATAATTAATAAAATTTTTAAAAAAAAATCAGTTTCATTATTGATGAATTCATAACAATTTGTTCACCAACATTTTGGGTATCAACGTTTAAATTTAATATTTACCTCAATAGAATGTAAAGCATGTTTATTTCGAAGGTAGGCCTTTAAGCAAACACCAAATATAACAGAATCCAGCGACAAACAGATAATGTCACCCAAATAGTCCATACCGTTAGCTCCTACATAATTTGAATGAAGAAAAATTTTCAATAAATTTACAGAATGAATGGAGTTTCAACAGCAGCAACATTAGCTAACTTTCAAGCATAAGTTCATATTATCCTCGCTCCCTAAATTTTTTACATAATGACACTATTACAATGATACAATTTTAAAAAAATTTAACGAAAAAAAAAAATATATAAAATAAAAAAATTACATTTAAAATATTTAACAATTTTAATTTGCTGTCTGCCTGAGAGATCTTACTAATAAATTTTGTCAGAAATATTTGTTTCCAACATTTCAGTTATTTATTGCTATTGGCAGCACTGCAATGACTAATATGGGAAAAATAATGGATTATTTTTTACAAAATCTTTGTTTAAATATAAGTAAATTTAATGGTAATGTTACCCCGCAGTATATATTTTATTAATTGGAATAATGGAAGGTGAAGGGAAAAAAATAGATGAAATTTCGAGGAAAATAATACATACTTATCCTTTAATTAGGGTAAATTATTAATTTATTTTCAAAAATTACTCAAATACACTTTATTGATTTCTTGAATTCTTAAATGTTTATTTAATTCCTGTTAAAGAAAATTTGCCTCAATATTTAAAAACAATATTTCGTACGTTAAAGTTAATACTTTTTATAAAGTTATATACATTGAATTATTACATCTGTCGTTACAGGTTTGTGATATGGTGGATGAAATGAGAGGGGAAGCAATGGAAC